TTATTTCTGTTTAAAGTTACTGTAACACAACACAAATTTTCTCGATTTTGCTTAGTATTTTTTCGTAAAAGTAATTTCCTTTATAATGTCTCTTCTAGATACTCGTAAAATATTTGTGTAATGGGATGAGGATGTAGTTGTTGAAGCAAATTTAATAAGCTCTCTCGGTTCGATTTGCAGATACTATCGTGGCGTCGGCAGCCAAGTGTGTAAACGTCCTTCAGCCCTTTGTCTTCCGGTAACGTGTCAGCCCGATCCTGCAGCGTTCCATCGTCCTCGAAAAGCGGCCCCAACTCCTACGGAAATTCAGCATTATCGCGGTCAAGAAGCTGCCTACGCAATTAATGACTACGTCATGAGAACGACGGCGGTCAAGAGAACGGACACCCGTCCTGTCGATTCCGAAGGAGACGTGAATTCGAGATTGAACGATCTGGAAAATTTCCTCACCAAATTCGACGACGAAGCCGAAGACGAAGGCGAAACCGAACAAGTCGAGATATCAGGAGTCAGCGAAATATCGAAGATTTTAAAACCGAAGGTGCCGCTGACACTAATTTTGACATTGAAACAACAAAAAAAACAACATTAACTCGTTCAATACTTCACACTAACAAAACGAAAAATTTACCTATCGTCCGCAAACAGCAGAGAAATTTTGCTTTTTACTAAATAGCTTTCTTACAGCCCAGTCAAATTAGAAAAATCGGTGGAAAAAAATCCTAGAGTTGGAATTTTTTTAAACGCTTTCTTTACACTTGGGTAGACATGTATCAAAAGTCCCTGAAGGTGGGTGGCGAGCTCGAGGAGGAGGAGGGGGTTAAAGGAAATTATCACTCCTGCAGGTTTTTATCTTCTCATCAAAACTAAAGCTTACAAAATTTCCTACAAAAATGGTCCTTTGCATTTTTGTTGTAAGACTAACCGTAAGCGAGTTATAGGGCACACAAAAAACATCATTTAAAAAAATGTGCTTTATCTGCATTTAAAACAGAATTAGTCTTGTAATTTAAAAAAAAACTGACAGTAAATTAAATTTAGTTGATCCAATACTTTATTAAAGGAAGGGGGAGTCACGAGGGTCTGTAAATACAAACTCATCTTTTATGTAATTTATGCAAAATTTTCTGTAGAAGTCTATTTCTGCATCAAAATTTCCTATAAAAATGGTCCTATTCATTTTTGTCGTAGGACTAAGCGTTGGCTTCAAAAGTTTGGAGTCTACATAAAATTGCATTAAAAATCCTTTGAAACACATTTCATTACCATATGGTAAGTATTTATACCAGATGAATAAAAAGTATGGAACCAAACGTTTTTTGCTTAAACTATTTATTTTTTGCAAAAACTAATTGATGAGTGATAAAGTACTATAAAAATGTGATGATTTAACAAGAATATTTTTTTTCGAAATTACCTTTTGTTTCTACAAAAAAAAATATTTTTTTAAATGGCAACTCACCATACAGGGTGATTCTTAAATAGACCGACAAAATTTTATCCTTAGTAGTATCAAATGAGAACATGCTGGAAAAAATATTTAAAAAATTCTTTGTTTAAACTTTCTCCACATAAAATTGATTAAAATTATTTTCGAAGTAAAGCGTACGCCACTGATGTGTTAGCACAGGTAGTGGAAACCATGGTATTAACGTGATGAAAATGTACTTGATCATTGCAACAATTCATAAACGCCGTAAGTGGCACGGATCAAGGGGGTTTTGCCCCTAAAAGGTATAAACGTAAAAAGGGTACAGTTTGTCTCTATTTATCCTTAGAAAGCTGTAATAAAATTTTGTCGGTCTATTTAAGAATCACCCTGTATAATCATTTTTCTCATAAAAGCTATGCTCTAAGGATTACAACTATCTGCTTTATATTTAATTTAAAAAAAAAAAATTTTTTCATATAAATTGCAATTTTGACAAAAAAAAAATCGCATAACTCAAAAACAAAACAAAATTTCGTTCTGAAAATACGATCACATTTTTTATATTACTTTAGTTTATATTAATTATTATTTTCTGGGGGCAAATGATTAAAAATAAAATCGCTTGSTTCCATACTTTATATTTACCCTGTATGTGTAGAGCGTTCCCTAACTAAGCTGGTATGCCTGAAAGGTGACTCGGGTGTAGACATTTAAACGGAGATGTAAATAAAAWTTTTGGATGAAAGAGAGAATCAATCTGTAAGGGGGTTAAATGGGGTGTAAATGTTTAAACAAAGATATAAACATAAAATTATTTAGAGGTGTACTAAAATCAGATTTTTCYAAAATTAGTTTTTAAGGGAATAAAATGGTGTACAGATTTAAAGGGATATAAAAACATAAAATTTAGAAAATATGATCCTTACAAAGTGTAGAAAAACAAAATTAAAAACATGAAATTTCGAATTTTGAGAGTGCAGAAGTTCACTGAGACGACACTTTATGAAAATCAGCATTTAATATTTACCCATAAACATAGCCCATGCGAAGAACGAGACTACTATAACTGAATCCTATACATAACATAGGTAATTATCTAGCATTATATCTCTATAATACACATAAGCCTATGGAATGGTTTTGTGAAACAGCTTTTTCCCATTTTATATCACTATATCAGAAATACACGCGGACAAAGTCGCAGGCATATGCTAGTTATAAGGATGACTCGGAAGACTTGATAAGACCCTCGTGGCACCTTCTAATAAACTGTTGGATTCAATACATTCAATACATTCTATTTTTTAATATTGTACTGAACAAGACTGTAATTCGGTTTTCAATGTTTAAGTTGAAGACGTAGATGCAGCATATGAGGACGACTCGGAAGACTTTATAGACTCTCTAATGAAGTGTTGCACTCAATAAATTAAATTTGCTTTCATTTTTTTCAAATCACAAGATTAATTCTGTTTTAAATGCGGATAAAGCACATTTTTTTAAATGATGTTTTTTGTCAGCCCTATAACTCGCTTGCAGTTGTCCTACAACAAAAATACAAAGGACCATTTTTGTAGGCTTTAATTTTGATAAGCAGCCAAAAACCGTTAGGAGTAATAGTTTCCGAGATATAAGCAAAATAACAAAAAAAGACACCTTCCCCCCCCTCCTCAAGCTCGCCCTCCACCTTCGGGGACTTTTGATATATGTCTACCCAAGAATAAAGAAAGCGTTTAAAAAAAAATCCAACTCTAGGATTTTTTTCCACTTTTGTCTAATTTGACTGGACTATTGACTAATAAATAAAATAAAAGTTCTCAGTGTTATAGTTCTAAATTGCGCTAAAATTGTAAAATTGGGTAGAGATTCGAAGCTTCTATTGTCACATCTCCCTTGTCACATTCCCACTAAACAATCCAGATATCTAAATCYCCCGATCCCCAGCGAAAAATATTTTGCGTTACACTATCGCCACTGCCATGTCACCTAAATAACCTCGTATAAAATAAATTTATTTCACTCAGGTCCCGGCATCGGTCAAGGCCAAACAACCCGACAAAATTATAAAACTTAGAGCTGTTAAAACAAATGTAACTGAAACTATCACAAGCCCCGAGAAAGTAAGTAAATTAGAAGTAAAAGAAGCACCTGAAGAACCCTTAAACGTACTTTTACAAAAATTAAATAAAGATAATCCCAAACCAAAAGAAACGAAAAGTGACAATGAAGTGAAACGAGAGTCGAAATTTAAGTCAGTAATGGGGAAGAATAGACAGTTTTGTATCGAACAAAAACCYCCACTTGACGATAACTCGGCATTGGAGTTGCACAAATCGAAAAGTTATATCGTGAGTCTAATTGATAAAGCTTTAAGTAGAGAATTGGGAACTGTTCCTGGCGACAAGTGCACGAGAAAAGAGGTAAAAATTTGATTCAACTAAAATTCGAATCACAAATTTTATTATAGTTTATGACAATGAGTCCTAAGAAAGCAATCGATTTGGTTAATCGGCACACATCTTCGACTAAAGGTGGAGAAAAAAACATCAATCTGGATGTCGCACAAGCAGGTTCTTCAAAGAAAGACGATCAGTGTGTTTGCAAAAACGGTATGGRTTGAAAATTCAATTTTTGGCTTCTATTTGTGTTCTATAAAAATGAAAGACACATCTGATTATTTTAAATTTATAAAGTAAGGCCGTCTTCCATTTGTTATTCTTAAATTAGCCACTCGGGAACAATCTAGTAAAAAAGAGAGTTTGAAATGATATTTACTTTTACGCTGAGGCTTCACTTTTGGGATAAACGTATAAAAAAACTAACATAATAAGATCAAGAAACCGGCCTAGCATCTTTGTTTACTTTCTGCCAATCAGGCTTATGCCGAGGAAAATGCTGGTGGGTTGAAATCCAGACGTCAACATAATACTCGAGAAAAAATGGCAATACGTGAAAGTGTAAGATCTATTTAAACAAAAAAAAAAAGAAATAGAGTTCTTAATACTTTGTTTCTATGCAAAAATAAAAAAAATAAGTATTATTAATTTACTTTAATACAAGTAAAAATTATAGATCCTATTTTGGATCTGTTTTAAAATACAACACAAAAGCGTTGGAAAAGAATGATTTAAATACTTTTTATCTACAATCACTCTATAAAYAGACTTTATTCCACACTTTAGATGCGTATAAAGTACCACTTTATCCACTAGTGGAATAAAGTAACTTTATTRCACTATAAGTAACCAGCGCACCGCGTAACAGCTTACTACGTTTAACCGAAAGCACCTTTGGCGTGACGTTTAAATGTCAGTTTAATTTTTAAGTAAGTTTGGAATAATTTGGGCCTGTGATTGTGGATAAAACGTTATARTGCAGTCGTATGTTAGTSGCGTTTTATCCACTTAAGAAAATTAACCGCTCGAACTGACGTTCTTGGGGTTAAACATTCTTGCGTGTATAAAATGCTACCTAACACACTCTTACAATAAATAACTATTATTTTAGTTTATCGTTATTTTTTTGATATTCTTTCAATTGGCTGAAACATCCCGATCTTAGAAAATATTTACCTATTGAAAAATAGGTATAGTGTCCTATACCTCCGAGGTAAAGATTTGCTTTATAACTATTTATGTATCAAGTAGGTACGCAAAATAGGGTTTTAGGGGACGAATCGTAATTAATGTCGAGGCGACTAGGAGTCGAGTCTTTAATGAGAGGAATCACCTAAAACCCTATTTTGCGTATGTGGAGCATACAAGGTTTTTTTGTTAAAACACCCAAAACACGAATTCACACCTCTTACTAATTAAAAAAATTTCGTTACCATAGTAACCAATTTTATTTTTTAGTCCACAAAAACTGTTTTTTTGAGTACCTAAAATAAGCGTTTAGGGTACTATTTTATTGAGTGCGGAAAAGACTCATTTTAGGGACTCAAATGAGTCCGCAAAAGAGCTTTTGGGAGCGTATACAAAAATAATTTTTTTCAATAGCATTTCAGAAAAACTTATTTCGAATAAGTTTTAGGTAAAAATTCTTTACTTTTCGGGTTTACCTTTTTATGATTATTCACTTTTTATTTATATTTGTGCTTTCAAATTAAAATTAAAATCGAATTAAGGTATTTTTTACATTTAATTGTTATAATTTAGAACTCTTTAGAATTCTTTACTTTTCGGCTTTACCTTTTTATGATTATTCACTTTTTATTTATGTTTGTGCTTTCAAATTAAAATTAGAATCGAATTAAGGTATTTTTTACTTTTAATTGTTATAATTTAGAAATATATTTTATTCACAATCACCCATGCAGTATGCCGGACACTAACCTTTTAAAGGTTGGGAAACACGTCATTATACATATCTCATGAAGAGTAATAAGTAATAACATTACTTTTCTTGGGCGGTAATATGCAGGATTGCCAACGTTAAGATTACAAAAATACTAGGGARTTTTTCTTTCAAATTGTGAAGTCACGCATAAAATTTTTGCTAAATTTTTGGACCTTAACTTCGTTAGAATTTTGTTTTATTCAAATTTATGACTAAATATAATGTGATTGTGAARAAAATAGCATATAAACCTCGATGGTAATGGCATTACCCCTTGTGCTTTACATTTACGCCATATTTACCACCTTGTTTGTAATGTACTATTAACACCTACCTTCTTCTATTACATTTCTAATAACAACCACGTTGTTACATTTTATTTTCACATTTTTGGACGAATTTTCATCGTATTTTCATGATTATTTAAAAGAACAGTCCGAAACCCATCACGCACTTTCAACAACTGGCAAACAAGACGCAATTCTAATAACAAAAAAGTGGTGAAAATTGATAAGCGCTCACAAAAAACAATGCATTGTAYTGATTAAGAAGATGCAATGAATTTTATCAAGGTTATTTTCAGTATTCTGTAAATAATAATTATTCCCAAATTAAAAGGCACTAATTGTGTCAAGCAATATCTAGGASATGTAAAATATTTGAAATTTATAAACAGAACTACAGATATCTGTGATTTTGATCTTACTATAAAAATTTGTCCAAAAACAATGAGGCAAACATAATTTTTGACATAAATACGTATTTGGTCTTGCATGCCTTTTACTTTTAATCTTACTTATTTTGAATCCTCCAATCACAACAAGGAAAATTTAAAATTACAATAAGTATTTAAATTTGCAGTGTAGCGTGAAAAGCAGCAAGCGTTAATGTCGGTTGGTAAACTCACGGAGAGAGAATTGTAATTTCAGCTTTGAAACAAAGTTTGCGTATATTCTTACCGGACTCAGTTCCAAACTTCATTTAAAATACATAGTTGTTGAGCCGGAATTTCAAGTTCATAAGAGTGTGCGCAGTAGAAACAGCAAATTTTCTAAAATTAATCAAATCTATTTTTCAGAAGAGCCTTTATACTTGAAGCAACTGAAACAACTCCGATGGAGCCACCTGAGACACATTCAACGCGAAGCCAAACGTCTTGCCGACTTGGAACGTTTCCTCGACTCGTTCAGCGAAGGAGAGAGTCCACCGTAAAAGTTTGATATAATTTTTATTTTACAAAATTTATACAATAAACAACAATCGTATAAGTTGGAGTCAATAACTCCCAGTTCCATGAACTTAAAAATAAGATAAAATCCATTGTTATTCCGAGCGTAGACGCAAACAATTTACGAAATGTATCTTTGGAATTTTTTTCCCACAGCTGATTTATGATGTTGAAAACAATCCCTACCTCTCATCGGTGCATGGAAAGCACTTTCCCGAACGGAAATCTTCGTGCGATTCACAGGGGAATGCCGGAAAATGACGTCGAAGCGAAACCGAGTCAGTAAAGAACTTATAGGCCCATCTATGGTTACAAAGCGATCGTCCCTTGACGACAGACGCTAAAAATCCAACACATTTACCACAAATACAAAGTTTATTTTATGTCGGAGAAACTCAAAGGAAAAGTTGATTCGATTTATAATAAATAATAAACCTGCAGCAAAATTTATGAAAGAGCTTCAAAGATCAATCGATACTGGCTTAAATGGAGGGTGTTTCTAGCATTTTCGTCGTATTATGTTGTTAAAATTATTTTTATTTAATATGATAATTTAATATGACGAAAAACATTGTACCACGTGCTGTTAAGGGTCATAAAGACCGCGAAAGGATTACAACAACTTCCTCGGTCGTTATGTCCTTCTTAACAGCCCTAAATATGTAAATAACTACAACATTCAGCAATTTACAATCGTTAAGTTCTTAATAACACCCTAGTAAAACACAGGGCTGTTAAGAGGGTTTTAACAGCACACTTCTCCTTAACGTCTGGTTAATAGTTTTGTCACTTCAGATTTTAAACATTTTTAGAATTTGAAATACAGGGTGACCCAATGAAAACGAGTCAGAAACTAAAAAGAAAACGAAACAAGTCAATTTTGTTTCCAAGAGGGACATTTTTTACCGTAATTTTTAAAGCACACCCAGTAACTCTGTAACCCCCACACACCCCAACTTTAAACATTCAAATGGCCCTACCCCACTTGTGGGTATGAAAGCTATTTAAACAAGTTTTCAAAACTTTTTACGAAAATTAAATCAAAGCATCAATTCTTGAGATACAGGCTGTTCTAATATGAACAAACGGCCGCATATCACTTAAATTGCGGAAGTGAATGTCCCCCCTAGAAACAAAATTGAACTGTTTCGGCGTTTTTGCAAAGTCTTTTTAGTTTCTGAGATATTCGGGGTGGCTCGTTTTCATTGCGCCACCCTGTAGATTGTTTCCGGGAGGATTAAGGCCCTTCGTCGGGTCTCAAACATCTATTTTTTTAACAGCTATAATAATATGTAAATTACCATTTGAAGCCTTATTTTGTGTAATTTTGCYTAAACACAATGATTTTTTTAGTTTTAATTTCTCTTTAAGACGAATGAACTATTCGATAAATATTTGACAGAAACGATCAACTGTCTTGATATAATTTTTATTTTACAAAATTTATACAATAAACAACAGTCGTATAAAAACATATTTACAGTCATTAAATAAAAATAAATATATTACATCTAGCTGGAGTCTTTTAACGGAATATACTTCCTTTGTGGATTAACGTCGAAAACCGGTAAGTCGACGTAAATCGCTTTGGGTTTTTTCGAGGCGTCTACGACTAAATCGTCTTGCATCGATTCCAGTTTCATCTCGAGGATGTTTTTACGCACATGGAGGTCATCACGGGCTCTCCGACTCGCCGCACTTGTCGTTTCCGTTTTTGGAGTCGTAGTTTTCTTTTTAATTTTTTGTATGTGTGTGTAAGGAGTAGTCGATGCTTTGCTAGTGCTTAAGTCTTCTTCAACCGGTGGCGGGTCGAATTGTTTATTATCGAGGTTTCTCTTCGCACTTTGACGCGGGGTTTTCGTCGTACTCGTCGTCGTTGTATCTTCCGCTTCCTCCTCTTCCTCCACGTTTTCTTCGTAAGTCAAAGGCACGTATTTGGGTTTTTCTCGAGGAGTGATTATATCACTGATAAATTTCGGAGTGTAAGTACTGACCAAAGGTAGGATCGTCTCTCTGGCATACTTCTCCGCTTGCTCGAACATCTTGGCGAGACGCTGGGGCAGGAACTGAACAGTCGTCGCAATCATTTCCAAAGGATTCTCCTCGGTTTTGATTGCTTTTGACCCYTCCTCCCGCTTCCATTTGGCCTCTTTTGGCTTAGCTGAGGGTATTGAAGGAATCCACTCGTTTTGATCTTCCACGTCATAAAAATTATACGAAATTTCTTTATTAGTGCTTGTAAGACGCGATAAAAAATCGTTTTTTACAGCTGGCTCTAATTTAAAAGCGCCGAAATTCCGAGATGTTGTGGGTCCCAAAATTGGCTCGGTTATCTCAGGTTTATCTCTGTCGGGGTCATGTGACCGGCCTATTTTATTCGGATGAGGCTTCAAAATCGGCTCAACTATCTCTTTAACCGGACTTTCTTTTCCTTTATCTGGCTTTAGAATTTTCGTGTTGAAAGCTCGACTAGACTCTGCTTCTTCAATATCGGACACTCTGTTATCCTCATCGCGTTTCCAATCAATTGAATTTCCATTTTTTTCTTTTTTGTACTCTTTTTCCAAGTCTTCGGGGCCGATCCGGACCACCGGAGTCGGGATGAAATTCTTTATTTTCGACGTTGCGTTTAAAGGAAGATTTAGAGGATTAGGGTCGTGAACCCGGTCCTCTGCTTCCTTCTTCGCGTATTTTCCGGGTAAATTACATTCACCGGGATATAAAGGAAGAGTCACCGGAACGCCGGAGTCCAGAATTAGATTCTTTTTGCAAACAGATGATCTAAAAGCGAATTCAAAGATTTGAAAAATTTCAGTCTTGAAGAAACTCACGTTTTGCCAAAACTATCACTAATGGTAATCTTATCCATCCTCCATTGGGTCAACCCAGATGACAACCAACCACTGTATGCAGTGTAGAGAATTTGGACACTCGTAGGTTCCGATAATATTGGGTGCGGGACCAAAATCCGAGAAATTGATTCACCCAATTTCATTTCTTCGTCTTCTTTCCTAATTTCATTAATTATTAAAAAGTTTTTTTTGGTAGAAAAAATAGTCATTTTGTTATACCTAGTCATCATAAATGTCTCATTGAAGGTCGAATCCCCTATTAGCGTAATTTGAATTTTTCCATAAGATACAATGGGGACCGCGCTATTTGACGTTTCAATTTTGACATGATACTGGTGGGCGCAGAAGGGCTCTTCGTCTCTTGTAATGAGATATAATTGTCCTCGACCTTTGGACCTATCAGCGTAATACCCCATATTGCCGCAGTTCCTTAAAATTAAACGAGAAAAATGTGTTGAAAATAAGTTAAAATTTGTTATTATTGCTTAATTTTTTATTTTGCCAATTAGCCGTACCTCTCATCAGTACATGGAAAACACTTCCCCGAAAGAAAATCTTCGTACGATTCACAAGGGAATGCCGGAAAATGACATCGAGGCGAAACCGAGTCAGTAAAGAACTTATAGGCTCGTCTATGGTTACAAAGCGATCGTCCCTCGACGGCAGACGCTAAAAATCCAACACATTTACCACAAATACGAAGTTTATTTCTATTTCTAATAAAACTGCAGCAAAATTTATTAAATGACTTAACAATAATATATGAATAACAATATTAAAAAAAAAGATAAAACAAGCTTCTTTATTCGATTCGATTCGAAATAAAATCCGAAAACCTAACATAATACACTTTTCGTAAAATCTCCATCGTTTTTATGTTCCTATCAAACGATACTCTTAAGGCTCTTAAAAGTTCATCATTCTTTTTGAGCGATTCGGCAAGAAAATAGAATTGTGGTATAAATATTACAAAGATTATTTCCAGCACATGTCAAATTTACAATTTCCACCAATAGCATGTCATTGTCATCCAATCATAAGCGTCTTTTGCAATAAAACCTGTTTTCGTGCTGTCATTGAATGATAAAACTGCTCTTCCTGCTGTCACTGAAGTGATTAATCTTCTTGTTCTCATGTCAGATGAATTTTTTGCTTTATAATTTTTTTTAATTTGTATTATTTATTAAGTGCTTTTCAAAATAATCTAATCGAATATAACTTTTTGTCTCAAATATAAATTTCCAAATTCAACTCGTCAAATTGTCATCACAAAAAAGTTTTCGTAAAATTCAAAAATTTAGTCGATAAAAAACGATGGTCTGTTATATTACTATGTATTGATTAAAATGCTAAAATTATTATGATTGTCATCTCATTTGTAAATACAGAGAAAACGATGATTAATAAAAAAGTCTGGGATGAGGGATTTTGCATTACACAAGTTAAAACTGCCTTTTTTTACCTAAAAGCAAGTTTTTTTAATCTCTCATTTTYAATCAATTTCTTGTTTAAAAACGTGAGAAAAACGCTGGGAATTGGCTGAAATATAGCTATTAAGACAACTAGAGTTTTAAACTATAAAACTCGTGTTGTTTTCAAAATTTTTTGCAACACTAATATTGAATCAGAAATTTTACAAAATTCAGAAATTATTACAAAGAAGTATATCAAAATAACGTCTAAATTGACAAAAAATATGCATCAGCGTATTTTATAAACTTATAAGATACGTTGCTGTTGGCGACGTACATTATAGCGTATTTTAACGCAAGTAAGCAAGTATAAGGTACCAGTGTTGCAAAAAAAATATTAATATCACCTAAAAAATAGATTTTCGTACTTATTTTGGTAAAATCTCTTACTTTGAAGCAATTCCTGGCTGCAAAACATGCTAAATCGCTAGGAAATTGCTGAAATAGTGTTGCGTTAAGCAAGTTTTTTTTTAATTCGTTCGTAAGTAGAAACAATAAAATTAAAAAGATATTACGAAAAATTTGTTTTTTTAATTAAAAACACAAATTTAGTAGTGTTTTTTACGAGTATTACTAATCTTCACTTTAGCATTAATCAATTATTAAAATCTCTTTGTAACTTAAGCTTATTATGCCATGAACATGGTTGTTTGCTTGTAGGTGAATGTTATCATAAAATGTTTGCAGAACTTCCCTAAAATAGTAGTTTACCCTTACATGAATCATGGGATTGGGAAAAAATGGCTAAACTAGTGAACTTTTCTCGGAAGTAATTAATTAAATAAAAACTTGTTATGATGCGGAAAACGGGAATAAATCACGTTTTAATTAAGTATCTGGCTCCAAAGTTTCCCGTTGATTGGAAATTGCTCGACCTCTGTCTTGCCCGGAAGCCCAACTTACACCAAATGATATCGCTGACAGCGCCGACAAACAAATTGCTGCACCCTTTCTGCATCCTTCCTCCGTTCGGATAAAAATCGACGTGCCCCATGGGTTGGTAGGACCCCAGCCCCCCTAGGATAAGATTCTCTCCATTACTATGAATGACGTCGACAAAATCGGCGTCGCTTTGGTCCAGTCTCGCCCTTGGGTCCTGCGACTCGAAAAGGGGTCCCGCAGGGTCCAGCCCCGTGATTCGGCTCAAATTGCCCAATTCGGCCCCGGCGAAGCCCGCCACATGCGCCCCCAGGCTGAACCCCACCAGATGAGTGCTCCTTAGTGACAAACCGTTATTATCTACTAATCCTCTAAGGAGCATCGCCAGTTGCTTGCCGACGAGGCGAGTGTTTGCGGCGGCTTTAACGTAATTAGGCAGTATCGCCCCCTTCTCCCAATCGACGCAAATCACATTAACCTCCTCCTGCGACACGAATCGATGAGATTAACGCGGAGGTAACAACCAAAGACTTACCACCGCCATGAGAGCGCTGCGCATCTCGTAGACCCATATGTGGCTGCAGTCGCTGCCGAAGCCGTGGATGAGGACCTTCGTGGGAAGGCTGTTGTTGAAGCCTTGTTTGGCCCATTCGAAAGCTTCTTTGATGGATGAGAAAGCGACTTCGGCGGGGCTAGAACCGCTTCGACGGCGGCCGTGTCCGGGGTACAGCAGGAACTTGGTGTCGATCTCCTCCGGTTTGCTTGGCAACATGTCCAAGTAACCGAAAGGGCCGGAGGCTTCGAAACATCCCAAGTCGCCGTAACAAACCGAGGAGTCCTCGCGTTTGATTCTGGAAACGATTTGACTTCGTGATCTATGATGCACATCAATGAATTGGCACAGAACGATTCAAAAAGAAAAACCAACAAATTTACCTATTGGTTTAATATCACCGAGGTGTATTGAACTGGTAAATAAAACTGTTATTAAAAAGTATTTTTTTTATTAAAAATTCGAATTCGAATCGTAGAAATATGGTAATAGGCTTTAATTTTACTTAAAGAAACGTGAAAACAGTGCGCCTCATCCTACGATAATTATTATGATTTATTATTGCCATGTTAGTATCTGATAATCAGCAGTTAGAATGCCAATTAAATAATAAATTATTTGTGATAAATTATGGTTTGAAGGAYCATAGTAAGAAACAAAGTGGATTTTATGCATAACTTAAGTATATCCCGTTTTAAACTAACTGTCACAACTTWTTTTTTTAGATTTCCTTGAGTAAAGATTCTTTTTTATACGGAGTGTTTACGGTTTCGCTTGAAAAAATATACTTTTTGTCATTTTGTTTCCCGCAATTTGTACAAAGTTGTAATTATAAAATTTAATCTTGTTACAATTTAAAATATTAAAAATAAAAATTGAATTTTACCAAATTTTGAAAACCTAGTGCACACATCATTGTTTTCATTGTAGTGTATAGGTATTGGTTTACTTATGTATAATTAAATTAAATATTACAGATAAGTGTGTTCTTTCAGAAAAAAAAWT